TAATTTTTTTAAAAACATTGTAAAAATATTCTCATTCGGGGAGGAAAATTTCCCACAGTGAGAGGAGAAAAGATTAACATGGTATTGTCTCTTTAGAAAAAAAAAAAGGTCTTGCTCTGAATCGAGCATATCAAGAAAACTCATTTTGAATTTCGTGAATTTCTATGGTCTCAAGATGAAACTTTCACTTCAGACTCATTGCTGGAGAAAGTTCAACCTTCCGAGAGTTCAATACCAAAGATGACTGAAAGCAAGACTATTCTACGTTAGAGACAATGTTCGAACTCTCCCCAGCCCGAGACTCACATCCCCAAGCATGTGGCTTATCTTCTATTACAGCTGCTATTGCTACTATTACTGCTACTATTATTATTATTACTACTATTACTATTACTACTACTATTACCAGCTGCCACATGTTGGGTTTGGTATGAGCTAAGTGACATGCAAAATACTCAACATTCAAGGGTGCTGATGTGAAAGCTGAGTGTCATAGACATTAATTAGCTTGCGAAAGGTCACAAGCTAACCTTCGCTCCAGGGCTCACAGAGGTTTCCACTATTCGCGCCGTTTATAAGACCACCACGAAACTGTCACGAGTCTGCTGGTGTGTGCTGAGTCAAAATTTAAAAATAATAAAACAGTAAGGCATTATAGTACCTTTCTAACATACAATCATCGTCGAGAGTCTTGTAGCAGGGCTAGTAAGGCCTAGATCCGGAGAATTTGGCAAGCCACTCAGTGCAGGAATGTACGTTTCACCCAGTGAGAGAGGATTTTCGTCAAGAGGGAAGTTGACACCCAGATGGCAAATAGAGTTCACAGATGTCTGACATTTGTGCTTTTTACTGGATCAGGGTTCACTGGGGTGAAGTCCCACGGCCCAAGCGGCTTCTGGGGGACATGCTCACCATTCCCTTGAAGTCAGAGTGGCTCCCGGACGCACCGCCCTCATGCTGCCTCACGGGCTGGGCCGCAGTCGGCGCCCTCTGTGGCATCTGCTCCCACCTGGGTGTTCACGCCAGCACGTGGCTGTTCTGTCTGCAACCTCAGGGCCCACACGCCCACCCTGAGCGGCCGACCGTCTCGCTGCTCCCTCCCTCCCTCCCTCCCTCCCTCCCTCAATTTTCGTTTTCTATTCCTCCTTCTCTCTTCCTCTCTCTCTTCAACCTCGTGTCCTAAGTGCCCCCTGCCTGTTCTTGTCTCTCTGCCAGAGCAGCCTGGAGCCTACTTGACATTTGTGACCACATGGCCGAATAGCTCCTTTGCAACTAGCTCTATTTTTGTAGTTCAAATCACACGGCGTGTGCGATCCTAACAAGCAAATGAGATCTAAGCGGGCTGAGATCGGTAAAGGCGAGGTGATGAACAGAAGCGTGGACGGGGCAGGCGAGCTCGCTCCTTGTGGAGAGTTCGCGCAGCCCCGGCAGCAGCTTACGAAGCACCAGAGCTCCTGGGGCCCGGCGGGGTACCCGTCCCAGGGCGCACCCCACACCCAAGGGCTTTCCCTCGACCCCGTCACAAGCAACTCTGGGAATCAGGATCTTTTCACAAAATGCAAATGCTTCCAGTAAAATTATGACGTTATCCGTCCCTCATACCTCGGTCCCAATCAGTCGGGTTGACTTCTCCCTACTTCAGCTACGAACCCCACAGAGCGAGCGTGTGGCACAGAAGGCTTCGTGTGGGCTACGTGGGCAGGAGTGACACACACTGCCACCAGAGACCTCAGAGCCAGGTGTGAGGGGGGGATGGCTTCACACACAAGGAGAACAAACTTGACCTGCGTGTGCGCGTGCGTGTGCATGTGCGTGCGTGCGTGTGTGTTTCTCTCTGTCTCCCTGGACATTCTCTGGCTGATGCCTTCTGCTGTCACGCTGGTTCATCTGTCCATTCCTTTCCGTTTCTTTTTTTTTCTAGTTTATTCTTTTTACTTTTGCTGCAGTCGGTTCTTCATGACGACGCTTCTTTTATTGTCTAATGGCAAAGGACAGCACGCGCTCCATCCAGAAAGTACTTTGCCAGCTCCTCGGTGGGTCCCCACGTGCTCACCCTCCGCCGTGAGCGAAGCATCCTCCTCCGGGTAAGAGGGCAAGTGAAGAAGTTACACAACACGCTGAAAACCACAACACAAGTCTGTAATTAGCCACTGCCTTTTGAACGGATGTGGTGCCTACTGGCTTACTCACGCTTTCCAAAACCTCACCGTTTTGAGGTCAGACTCGATGATCAGTCACCACGAGCGCGTGTTTAATGAATGGGACACAGACGAACACAAGCGTTCCCTGCCTTCGCTTCTGAAAACTGGGATAAGGGATGGAAAATGATTCTCAGATTCGACGTTCCCAGTAGTCTATGGGGGGAAGAACACATAAAATGTGCCTCAACTCCCCGCCAGCATTTCAGCTGAAAACTCCAACAAACCCCGAAACGTTGGAGACACATCTAATGCATTGACATCGGGACTTTGCTTCGATGAGAGGACAGCCTGGGCCAAAACCTCAACTTAACCCACGACACACAAGCTGAGAAAACACTGCCTCGCGTCACGGCTTTGTCCTCGTTATCCAGAGATTGAGTCTGTTTTCCCTTCAACTTAAAAATCGTTAGAAAAACACTCCCATTTCCTCCAAGAAAAATAAGCACAGGCAAAGGGCAGGAGCCGCATTCCACAGGCTCCGTCCCCAGTAGGGCGAAGTGCAATGTGCCTCTCCCCTGTCAGCACTGAGGGTTTGGGGCTCTGGCCCCCACTCTCCACACTGCCAAAGCTAAGTGAGACGCTGGCCACCGAAGACCCCCGTCCCCACGGCTCTGGGGGAAGAGGCCGGCCCGCGTGTGCATTTTAATGCTGGGTTTGAATATTGGTGAACAACAGCGTGGTCACCCTGTGAGGATCCTTTTCTTGATCAAATGCACCCTGTTTGTGGGACCAGCTTCCTCCCCACAGAGACGTTTTCTCTACCCTTCCCAGGTCCTTGCTTAGCTTCTTCCCCAGCTTTACCGTCTCTCGTTGCTCAGCCCCTGGCCATCTCTTGGCGCTGGCCTTGTCAGAGAATTTGCATCTGCTTAACTCTCCGCTTTATAATCCGCCCTTCCTCGCACCCCTCTGCCACTCAAAGAAGGATTTACGCTCAGGCTATCGGTTGAAAACTCATGCACAAGCATCAAACATGCTTATGTACCTCAAACCCATACTTCATCCCCTCTGTTAATTAATGCAATAATCCAGCAACTATTTGGGGGGTGAGTAAGGTGCTGGGCACTTTAAGTCATGCGTGAGATGAAGTTCAGAGCGGAGAAAGGAGGTCAGGAAGGAGGGCGGTTGGGGACGAAGGTATGGCTTGTCTTTTACACGTTTTATGCTAATAAAAGATGCTAAACGTGCAAGGGGAAAATATTAGGAGAGCAGCCAGTGCGCTCATGTGGGGCCGGGGGGGAAAGAAAGGAAATGCCCATATTACAGCGACTGCCGAACGCAAACATCTAAAAAGGCTTCCCATTTTACCGCGGCCCCAGGCTGGAAACTGACTACAAACCTGGATCCTTAAGCAGAGACAGAAATCACATTTTACTCGTTATTATCCTCTCTCTTCCCACCCCACAGTACCTTGACAAAACATCCTGTCGACATTATTTGCCAGCGTGAGCTTTCTACAATGGAATCAGTTCGAACATGTGAATGGTATCATGTCTACTGGTTTTCGAGAACAGATGAACGCTAAAGTTTGGGTTCAATTTGAATTCTCTTCATTTATACGCAGGGAGGATATGCTTTGAAGCGTGGAGAGCCCAAGGTCATGGATACTGAATCTTTTTTTTTTTTTTTCAGCGTGATTCTCTTTATTACACCTGATTCCCATAGCAGTCCATGGATGCGGTGCTGAAAGCTGATGGTTATTTGATGAGAGAACATTCTGTCTTTTCATCCAGTGAGATACTTACGTGGATCTGCAAATCGGTTGTTCACTCGGCAGTGATCGATCCCTCTGTAAAATCTTGGTTTCTTTTTTCTTTCCCAAAATCTGGGTATGCACACGGGAGTTTGCTGCACATGTGAACATTTTGATTATTCTGGTTTGGGGGGGCGAAATTGAAAACCATGATGACTTTAGGAAAAGTAAGTTCACTAATTATTCCCTACGTAAAAGAGGGAAATAAGATTTTTGGTAGCATGCGACCTGCCCACTTATGATTGTTTTCTAATAAAGTGACACCTTTTAGATCGGGATAAATTTAGAGCTTATAATATAATTCAGGAAATGAATAAATTTTCTCAGTATGAACAGTATGTTTTTGATTGGGGCCTGTTTTTTAAGGAGTTTGTGGAAATCAATTCAGTATCTACGGTCTCATCTAGAGGATGGAAGAGTGAGGTTAAGTTGTTCTTTATCAATTAAATCTACAGTACAGATCCCTGGCAGATTAATTTGATTTACTTTTGCTTTTTTTATTTATGCAAAACATTTTAAATGAGAAACCTGGGGGCATTCTGAAATGCCATTACTTATTTTGTTTTAATCGCCAGGTAATTCCTGAGACAGTACTGTCCCAAAGGGCCTTTGCAATTACTTAAGAATCCCCAAGGTAATTCTTATGTTCCTCGTTTGAAAAGAATCACATAATTTTAATAGAAACTTCAGAAAAGGGGGTCAAAGTTCGTCCCAAGAAAATCACCCTACTCTGCTCTACACTGGGATATATATGGACGAAAATAATAGGAGGAAATTCAACTCATTGAGTATTAAACAATCAAAACAGGAGTGTTTAAAATATCCTGTTAGTGGTTATAAATAATTTGTACTCTAAGTCCAATGACCATTTGCCAGAGAGACCCAAAGTTGAAAAATTTCTATTAAAAACATGACTCAGAGGAAAAATTGCAGAGGCTGGAAATGAAGGAAATGGCCTGATAGCCTTCCCAATTGGTCATTACTCAGATCACGTGGTCTGGGCATCTTTAAAAGGCGGTTATCTGGACTCGAGACAGGCTCGACACCTTCCCGAAGGCTGCAGCTTCTTCCCACGTTGAAGAATAATCCTAGAAAGCTCACGAAAATGTGTGATGCGTTTGTAGGTACCTGGAAACTTGTCTCCAGTGAAAACTTCGATGATTACATGAAAGAAGTGGGTAAGGAAAGGCCCTGTGGGGGGCCTGGATTTATACATTTTTCTCTGGGGAAGAGCGATTCGGGGCTGTTTTTCACTCAGGAAGCATTGACCAGGTACCAGATACTGCTTTCTACAGAAAGGCTATGAAAATAGCAACTGAGAATCATTTGTTTATAGAAACAGTCTGGACCAAAGTCACGATGGCAGGTGGACGATTCTGAAATTGTCTAAGTGGAATTTTTACGGTGTAGAGAGATGACAGGATTTTATTTGATTTCTAAACTTGGGCATCTTTATTTTCCTTGGCTCTTTGTCTGCTTTTCTTTCAGTCCCTGTGGCATAGAAAATAAGCAACGATTTGGAAATAAAACCGCCTTTATTCCCTAGCATGCAATAATTCCTATTTGAAACTAAAAGCACTGTACTTTTCATCTTGATGTAGTTTTCTAAGTAAACGTATGTTAACTATTTTATTGTCTTAATGTCAGTCCATTAAAATGTGTGGTTGTTTTATGGGAGACAAAAGCCTTCATTTCAGAGAATGTGTTTTGTAAAGGGCTTAAACTCTTCTTTGGCCAGAAATGACACGGGACGCCGTAGGATTATTAAATAATTTTAAAGGGGAATGTTACATACATAACATACCTTCTCTTTGATAGAGGAGGCTTCCAGGTTTTTAGATTCTGCTAACTTTGCTGAGTCTAAAAATGTTCCCTGGATAATTAATTAAGGAGGACATGCAAGGGGATGGGGAGGCAGGTTCTCACGGAGGCACCTTACACCTGGGAAGCCCCTCTCCTCACACCCCCCGTATGCGATCAAGTGGTCGAAATGGGAAGGGATTTTTTCACAATGTATTAGGGGTTACGGTTTAATCCCTAGATCTCAGGACTTAATTTTCCCCTGAAACATACAGTATATTTTCTGCTTGTCTGTAATTACGATTTTCCTCATTTACAGACAAGAGGGAAACCAGGGACTGCGGCAGGATGGAGACCTCACTTTCTAGAAAATCAATTCGGTGAACTAATACTTGCTGATATAGAAATGCCAGGATTTGAAGCTATTCAGCCATCGATTTTCAGAAACAATTTACGCTCTTAATAATTGTACTTAAACTTTTTACCCTTGCGTTTTAAATTATAAAGTACTGGTGATAAGGGAAGACAATAAGATACCTCCTGAGATCACCTGTTCTAACTGATGATCAGTGAACAGGTGTCACCTTCATCGGTCGAATTAGGATGGAATCTAACAAGTGGGCAGATGACCTTGCCCAAGGCTGGCCAGTCTGGATTCGCACTTGACATTCCCTCGTTCGCTCTGCTCACTCACTCCACGTATTTGACGTTATGTTTTATAACAGAGCCAGGACTTGAAGCCACGTATTATCGTCCCACCTGTGGCCGCTTCTCAGACAGGGAGCTAAATCAGAGCCCTGGCATCACCTGTTGTGGACAATATGTCTCTCCCTCATCCCCTCGACTTCTAACCTTTGGCACCTGTAAGCAGCTTTAGCCAAAGAAGTAGCTTAGCTTTATGTACCTGTGTTTAAAAAATCCAACACGTCTATGACTGTTGTAAATTCTGTATAACATATGCAGTGAGAGCAAGTTACTGCTGTATGTGGTGGGTTGTAAATTGTTCATCCCATACTTTTCACAAGAAAAATATGTTCCTCTTTTTTTTTTTTTTTTTTTAAAAAAAGAGGAGTTTGGAACTGAAGGAATTGGGAATCAAAGTATTAATTTCTAAACGTACTAAAATAGTGATTTCTCAAATTTTGGAGTTTTTACAATTGATGCCTAGGCCCTATTTCACCTTTTCTATAATTTATTGGGAGGAATATCACCATTGTAAAATGGTATGAATGTAAGAAACATTTTGCCTTTGGAGAAATTCATCAAAATTTATCGTTTCATCATGGAGTAATTGGGGGGAAAGCCAAGAACACTAGACTTGGCAGCAAATGCTATAAAAATGTTAATTTTGTACACCCAAAGAGCTGATTTTTTAACTGAGTTACTTTATATTGGCCCCCAAATTCTATTAAGAATTTTGTCTCTAGCTGCGGATTAGATCTTTGTCGTCTAAGACAAAAAGGTTACGGTGCCACAAGTGTTTAATGAGTTGAATAGAATGGCAGTTGCTGGCCCAGTGGTCGAGGTGGCCAGTAAATCTGAGAAGGCAGTGACTTTTTAAAAATATGTACATCCAGACGATTTCATCTTTGTACATATTCTTGTTGAATAGTAACAGAGGGTCTCCTGAGGGGCTGCTTAGAGCCCCCGAAGAGAAAATTTAAAGAGATATACAACTAGCTGTCTCTCACATGTTTCTTTAAGTATCGGCCTGCGTTACTTACCCGCAGGAGCTGTTTAAATGAGGCGATTAAGAGACTCGCCAGCTACGTATACGCACGTCTGCATGCTACAGCTCTTTCTTGAAGAAGTGAGAGAAAATTGCAAGCTTGATGTCTTCTTCTTTTCTTGCCCGCAGGAGTGGGCTTTGCCACCAGGAAAGTAGCTGGCATGGCCAAACCCAACATGATCATCAGTGTGGATGGAGATGTGATCACCATCAAGTCAGAAAGTACCTTTAAAAATACCGAGATTTCCTTCAAACTGGGCCAGGAATTTGATGAAGTCACTGCAGACGACAGGAAAGTCAAGGTGAGGAGCCAGAAATTGGAGCAGAGTGAAAGCCGGTTTCTAAGTGACCGCTGCCCCCAAGCAGCCATCCTGTCAGGGAAGAACATCTATTCCATCGTAGGCTAACGATTCCTGGCCTCCGAGGTCTAAACCGCGTGGCCTTCCATGTTCAGTTGGTGAATCTGACAACTTTTTATAATATTGTCCTTATAATTAAAAAAAAAAATTAACATCATTTATTTGTCATACCATACCTATAGATCGGAAGTGGATTAAAGTCACATAATGCTAGAGAATCATATGAACGAGCGGAAGAAATAAATGAAACAGTTCACCTATAATACGACCATCTCGACAGAAATGTATTATCCATATTCCTTCACAGCATTTTTTTCAAATGCCTGTTTGTAAAATATTCTGGCCGTAATGTGTGTGTAACTTTGTCGCCGTTACCTTCGGCATCCGCGTATTTTCCTGTTGCAGTGTATTCTTGTCATTTAGAATTTCGGACGACCTCAAAGTCATCCTTCAGACACAGCTGATGTATTTCCTGTTTCGTTTTCCTCCGCCATGTACAAATCGTGGCCGCTCTTTGTCGCTCCGCAGAGCACCGTGAACTTGGAAGGAGGTGCCCTGGTCCAGGTGCAGAAGTGGGACGGGAAGTCGACCACCATCAAGAGGAAGCGAGTGGACGACAAGCTGGTGGTGGTGAGTGTGTCCCGGCTGCTGGGCTCTGCCGCCATCGTGTAGTCATTCTTCTCCTTAAAGTGACATAATCGCTCCTGCTCATGGCAGTTCTGTTGGGCCGTGTTTCACCCTGGCGACTGCCCTTCACGCTCTAAGCTGGGCTCGGGCATGCTGTTCACCAGGAAGCATCCCCTGGCCCCTCTCGGCACGTACCACGTCACGCTATGCATTTCTGCTTATGTCTGTCACTCCCCATAGAGACCGTAATGTTCCTTGAAGGGAAGACCTGTATCTTCTTGGTCTTTATACCTCCCTAACTTATTACAGTATCAGGTGTGTGTAGGGGCCCAGGACAAATATCTTTCAAGTGAATGTTGTTTCCTTCAAGCCAACAGTTTAGTCCCGTGATTGACCAAGAATTTTTGTGTCTGTCCAGGAATGTGTCATGAAAGGCGTCACTTCTACCAGAATTTACGAGAGAGCATAAGCCAAGGGTCACTGAGCTGGACTGAAGTTTGCCTCGAACTCCGTGTCGTTCTGTTGGATATATTGTCCAAACACGTCTTGTTATTTCCCACTAACTAGCAAGCAACTAACTTACCCCCAAATGGATTTTATTCTATGCGGTCGTGTTGGTTAAATAAAACTTTTTAGAGTTAGAAGGTGATGTCACGATGTATTCACTGTGCCAGGTCATTCCTTACTCAGTGAAGGAAATAGAAAGTTGTATTATTATTGCTTTGTTGCTGGTATAAGTAATATGATATTTTACAATAATCCGAGGTAAAAAAAATGACTATTCACGAGTTTTCCATTGACTTAGGTAGGAGTTGATAAATTTGTGCTAATACTGAATATGAAGTTCTTCTTTAGTATATCTTCAGTCAAGTGACTCCCTCAGAGACCTGAGGTAGTTTTAAAGTACGGTTGTCCCCCATTAGCCACAGGAGATAAGTCCCAAGACTTCCAGTGGATGTCTGAAACCCAGGAGCACACCAAACCCTACATATACTGTGTTTTCTCCTATGCACCCATACCTGCGATAAGGTTTAGTTTATAAATTAGGGACAGGAAGAGATTAACAATTACTAATCATAAAATAGAAAAATTATACCAATATACTGTAATCAAAGTTCTGGGACTGTGGCATTAGAAAGTAACATAAGGGTGACTGAACACAAGCACCATGATCTGTGCTCGTCCACCCGCTTGCCCAGTCGGCCACTGAGTGACAAACCTGGACAGAGGAGTCGTCGCATCCCAGTCAGGACAGACCAGGACGGTGCGAGGTGCCATCACGTTCCCCAGAACAGCGTGCAGTTTAAAATGTATGAGTTGCTTATTTCTAGAATCTTCCACTTAATATTTTCCTACCACAGCTGACCGTGGGTAACCGGAACCGCGGGGACCACACACAGACCTTGGCGACATCCATCGTAGGTCTGGTCCCTGACCGCCACAGTTCAGCGGGGTCACAACAATGCGAGTCACGGGAGTGTTTTGGTTTCCTGGTCCATATGAAAGTTATGTTTACACTATACTGTAGTCTATTAGATGTGCAACAGTATGATGTTTAAACAAAAATAATGTATGCACCTTCATTAAAAAATACTTTGTTGCTAAAAATTGCTACCCGTCATCTTGAGCCTTCGGCAAGTCGACATCTTTGCACTGGTGAAGGGTCTTGTCTTGGGACATCAGAGATGACCGATCACAGATTGCCATAACAAATATAATAATCATAATGAAAACGTTTTAAGTATTGTGAGAATGACCCAAATGTGACACAGAGACACGAAGTGAGCAAATGCTATTGGAAAAACGGGGCTGATGGACTTGTTCAACACAGGGGCTTCGCAAACCTTCGGTTGGTTGAAAAGGCCATATCTGAGCAGCTCTGATGAGGTAAATCTGGGCTGTGCTGGCATTCACAGCCAGCTGGCCCAGATGCTGTCATGTCACACCTACCTGGCCCAGAGCGACGAGAGAGAGGAGAGTAACAATGCAGGTTGTAAAAGAAGACGCCTAGGCTACAATTTTCCATCTGAAAAGTTACTGGTAAACCATGCTGTCTGTGGGACCTTTCAAGGATAAGAAATGGCAACGAGGCTTTCTGGGTAGGGGTGTGTGTGCACGTGTGTGCGTGTGTGTGCACGTGTGTACCTGCCCTTTTGCCCTTCTGGAGGCACCCCCACAGATCACTTGCACGTACATAGACTGCAATTTCCAAACCACATACTTACATTTTATGGTGAGTCAGAATCTGTTGGAGAGTGTGCTGCGGTGGGTATAATTGTGTTTATGACGCTTCCTTTACTAATCAGCCCATTATTTTCTGGACACCTGTCCTACATATAACAGCAGTGTATGGAGAGGCCAGCAGAGGTGGGCTAAGTGTCTGATCATAAGACTTTAGCTAAAGTGTAGAAGCAATCCCGTGTCCACTGACCGACGAATGGATAAGCAAAACGTGGTCTAGTCACACAATGGACTCTTGGTAGTGTTAAAAAGAAAGGAAATTTCGAGAGAGGCCACAACATGGATGAAACTTGAGGACATGCCCAGCGAAATAAGCCAGTCACAAAAACAAACAAACAAACAAGCAAAAAACAAGCACCGTATGATTCCACGGATGTGAGTTACGTAGTCAAAACCATAGGATGGAAAGCGTCGGCAGGGACCGGCAGGGAAGGGGAAAAGGCAGTGACGGTTCATGGGGACAGAGTTTCAGGTTTGCGAGCTGGAAGGGCTCTGGACATCGGTGGTGGCGAATGCACAGCGTGAGTGTACTCAGTGCAGCTGGACCGTGCACTGAACTAGAGTTAAGTTTATGTTATGCCTAGTCTACCACAAGAAATGAGATCAGGAAAACAATCTAGTCTGGCTCCAGCTAAAGTATGATAAGTACAGGAATAAATTTCAAAGATATGAAAACTTTGGTAGCTTCTGGTAAATGTCTAACTTTACCAACGGCCCTCGCCAATGGAGAATGTAGCATCTCAAAACGCAAACTTATTGAAAACTACTTAATATCTAAAACGTCACAAGAAAGAAAGTTAATACAATGAGATGTTGGAGAATCACATGCAAATGAGATAATGGAGAAATAAGCATCGACATTGTCATGGAAACAAGACGTGTTCCTATCCTATCACGAATGACTGTATTCTCAGTCCTTCAGAAGGGTTAACGACTAAGAACACTCTAACTAAACGCTTTTACTCGGGGAAATGGTTTGTTTGGGTTTTTTGTTTGTTTGTTTGTTTACGTTCAAACAGAGGTGCCGGAGGCTAGCAATGGTAGCAGCAGGACAAACAGAGAAGTTTCTTAGTTGAGGAGAGAGACTTGCCTGCTCAGAATGGGACAGGAGCAGAGGAGACGGGAGTGTGGGGTCCCCTCTACCATCGATAACCGTAATGAAAGTCCTGTCTTACAGAGCAGGTCAGGAGAGAGCAATGTATGACAAGCTTGTCTCCAGTCAGTGTCGGAGGCCTGAGACCAGGAAGGAGGGGAACTGTCGGGTGAAAAGAAATAAACAGTGTTGATGCGTTTGGTCGTTCGTTCGTGGAGCATTTACTGAGCACCTACGACATACTGGGCACTGTCCTAGGGACACGGGGGTGAGTAAGGAATATTTTGTTTGCTTGACACACTCATGCACTAGTTCAGGGGACAGCGGGAGGAAACTGGTTGCAATACTGTGAGAAAAGTCCTCTAATATTTTTCTTTTAAAGTATAGTTGTATCACGTAGTAGGGACCGAGTAGCTCTGAGGAGATGTTTGGGTCGGATGTGGAAGGGTGGGAGGTGCCCGATGCTGAGTTCACGTGGCCATCAGGCTGTGTCGCACGTAAACGGTTGTTCTGAGAGACCAAACTCGTGATTCAGACGAAGCTGTCTACCAAGGCATACACACTGACTAGGATGGCTTAAGAAGGCTTATGCTGCGAGCCACGAGTCACGAAAACTCAAACGCAGAATTGTTTAAATAAGAATGGAGTTCATTAATTTGCATGATAAGAATTCTAGAAGTAAAGGGGCCTTCGGCTCCTCCCAGCTCTCTGCTCTGCCACCCTCAGTTTTGGCCCCACTGGACCTGGGAACGCATGGATGCGGCAGTTCCAAGTTTCAGACGAGAAAGCAAACCACGCAGAGGAGGAGAGACCGTCCTTCCGGCTCTCTCGGGGTAAGGACGTTTTCTAGAAGCCAGGAATTTGAATCTTCCTTTTGTATCATAGGCCAGCTGAGTTCTAAAATGGGCCACAGGAAAAACGAACAAACAAAGAAATAAATTTTAAAAAATTTTAGAATAAAAAATAAATAAAACAGGCCACAGGGCTGTTTTCTGAATCCGTCAACGGCGGGAGAAGCGGAACGAGGTTGATCACGTCAATGGGTCTCTGCCACACTAGCCACGGGCACGCACGCACAGCCGCTTGGGCTTGCTGTCTTCCTGCAGGGCGTGCAAGCCCGTTGAGAACCTGTAAGGCAAGGTAGGGCACATGCTCTTCGTCTGATCAGTGCCCCTGATGTAACTTTCAGGGGCTAAGGCACTCGTCTTGAGCCTGGGCCTCAGTTTCCTGAAACTGACTGTAAGGATTTGCTTCCCATTCTGCCCTCCAGATACTTCAATAACTATTATGCCTATAAAGAGAGTGCATCATAAATTTCCTCTTGATATGTTTTCATCAAAAGAAATTCTTTATCCCACTTAAATTATTGTGGTTCCAGAATATCAGCCTCTTTTTTTTAATTTGTTTTTTCATCAAAGAGATGGTTTAAATAAATATCTCTTTGAATTAAAGGAGTATTTGACACAGGCTCATAAAAGTATGGATTTTCTTCTCCTAGTGCCTGGCACCCTAACTTTCCAGCCTTCTTCAAGACGGCTGGGGTTCAGAGCTGTGACACAGACCTAGAACACTTGAAACGAACGCTTCTTAGCAAACACAATACCTGCAACACCCACTCCCATGACTTGGGTGGCAGAAGGTGATTTCGGACGTAACTGCACGAGGATTTAAATGATCTGCTCCTTTGTCTTTCTTTAGAGTGCAGATATCAAAATGTCATCTTTCTCCCCAAAACTCCCCTTTACAATTTCAAGTGGTACCTTCTAATATCAAGCTTACTTTGAAGATGGATTTTGCAAGCGTTAGCTCCGCCTTCTTTTTTGGGCTCAAATCACAGAGCACTAACAGGTGGTGATTATCACTTTTCTTCCCAGTCCACAATTACTCTTGATGGAGAATGATGATAATGTTAATACCCCACACGTCACTCCAAGCAAGTGTAGACACTTCACTTATGTGAACTGATAACGATTCGTCAACCCTTCCAGGTAGGGTGGGGAGGATTCTATTTTAATGAAGAGAGTCCTCTGGCACTGTGACTGGGCCAGACAAAGAACAGGTGAGGTGGACTAAGCAAGGGCGTCCTCGTGTTGGATGGGAAAACACCTCGGTCAGGTGTTCGTTGGACGTCTATCAGGAGACTCCTTCAGAGATGACCAGGCATTTGTAGTTCCAGAGGCTGATCTCCACTGAAATCGTCTCCATGCCGCGAGTGATGTCGGTCAGATGACCCGTGGGTGTAAATCTCTTTGCCAGGAGCTATAATCGTTGACTTAAAATCAACTTTATACCTTAACTTTCTGTTCCCTAATTAGGGGGTAGACGGAATGAGTCAACGCCAGAGCCTGGACTCCGGCCTCGCTGCCATCCACTGGTTTCCTCTGCAGAGTCACGTGACGAAGATGCCTTTTAAATGAAGATACTGGTAGCACTGTATTGCCTAAGTCTCTTTCGGTGGCAAGTGACTCTTCTCAGAAGCTTTCCATCATGATCGAGCCCTTCTTGGGAACCTGGAAACTGGAATCCAGCGAAAACTTTGAGGAATACTTGGAACAACTGGGTGAGAAATATCATTGACAGGTTTGGAAACGGGCTGAGCGTTGCGTGGTGGGCTTGGGTTTGCGTTTTACGATGACCGTTCCTACCCTTCTCTCTTTCGTGGTCCCAAGGTACATTCGCATCTTCTTTAGCCTGGGCATTTCATCAAATAGCTTTACCCAGCTTCAGACACTAATAACTATCTATAATTAAATTGATCGACTCAATTTGTTTCAAGGTTTGCTTTAACTTATAACTTCGAAAACACAAGACCAACATATAAAGTCTCCAGTTAGTTAATTTTTAGAGTTCTGATACATGTGAAAGATATGTTTTAAACATTATTTTAAAGAATTTCAAATTTTTCATTGGAGAAATGGAACATTTTTACTCACCGAGTGTCTCACCGTTGGTTGTTTCTCAGAAGCATAGACTCTATCAATCCTTTAGCTCCTGCCTAAGGGCATGTAGATCAATCATAACGGCGTGGGTCTACGGCAACTAAACCATTCTTTCTAATGCCAAAGAACAGTAATTATTTAATATATAATTAAGTAATTTTTAATATTTAATTAAGAGAAACCTCTCTTATAATAATATACTGTATATAAAGTGAAAAACTTTTTAAGCCTTATATTTTTTTAACTTGACTGAAATGATCAATGCATCTTAAGAAGTCGGTGTGCTCATAATATAATATTTGTGCCCTTTTCGCGGTCAGTATTAACTTTTTGGAGAGTCATAAGAAACATGTGTCACTATCTCTTCATGGAGTCATAGACTCGCTTGTGTGAATTTAAATTTGGGGGCATCTCTAAGAAACTTGGGACTTGCGGCAAACGTAGCGCTGGTTTGGATTGGGAGCTGGGACTGGGCGTAGCAGCTGAGCACCTGCTGTGTGCCACTGCCGTCTACCATCGGAGCTCTTCCATCTAATCGCCCCCCCGTCCGCGAGGCGAGCTCGGTGGTTCCCCACACTGCACGGCTGTGATGACTCCGCCGGGGCAGCAGGAGGCGCCCTCGGACCCGGGCTCTCTTCGCCTCCCTCGTCACTGTCCCGGGACGCGTGTCTCACGCCGCTTCTCTGTGACTGGATCTGTCCCGTCCGTTCCACAGCCTGAATGTGAAATCGAGTTCGCTATCGACCCTGAGGGAACAGAGTCAGCTCCCCTGCCACCTCCCGCAGGGAGTCAAGTTGGACAGTGAATTGTCCCCAACCTGAATGGCAGGGCCACGCTCTAGGCTAAACTAGTCCAGTTTGCCACCCCGGCCTTACTCAGCCACGGGGCACCAGCACCTGCAAATGGCTCAGACTTCATGAGTCAAATTCTCTTAGAGCAGTTTAGAGACCTTGAAAATTGTATTTATTGTTTTAAGGGAAAAAAAAGTATGCTAAAATTGGGCAGTTAGAAAACCTGCATTTAAATCTCAGCTCTGCTCCTTACCAGACTCATTACCTAGAACGAGGCTCCCCACCTCTCTGGGACGCCATGCGCTTGTCCCCAGAAACGAGGGTGAAAACACCCCCTGCGCTGCCGCGTCCCACTCGGTGAGGTGAGAACCAGCGTCCCATCGACCGAGAGGCGCCAGACACACGCGCGTTTCAGATGAAGCGCAGAGTCTCGGAGAGTGTGCTCAGCTTTTCAAAATGGCACACACAGTTACAAGGCACACCTTCTGACTGGGAGGGCCTGGCTCACTCCAGCTGCCACCGAGACCGCCGAAGACCGTGACCACACGCATTATCCCAAGCTGCGGGGCGGAGCGGGGGAAGGGCGGGGAAGCGTGTGTTCTTTGCAAATTGCTTTCCAAAACGATGGTCGGTCCTTCTTTCTAAACGGAGGTGTGTTGCTTGCTTTGCACTCCAGGGGTGGCCCCCACGCTCCGGCACCTGGCTGTATTAGATAAGCCGATAATCAGCATCAGAGGCAGTGAGGCCCAGCTGAGCATCAAAATCCAGCGCTCCTTCAAGACCACCGAGATCTCCTTCGAGCTGGGGAAAGAGTTTTGAGTTTGATGAAACCACAGCAGACAACCGGAAAGTGAAGGTTAAGACCCAAATCTTCCTGGTTTCACAACCAGGAGAAAACCGGAAACTGGAGGGGGTGGGATCAGCACGGTTTATCCCGATTAATCGTCAGGTCAGCTGGGGCTCGTTTCGTTCACGAACATTGGACGTCTCAGAAGGTGACCTTTCCGCTAGATCATTCTGCTGATAGACAGGGACAAAAAAATTCAGCGTTTTCACTTTTTTTTTGTTTCCTGGGCTCTCTTCACCACTGTACAAAAGAGAAGAACAATTCTCTACAGATAGTTTGGGGGTCGTTCGCCTGGGGGAAGAGGGCGTTAATTGAACACCTTCTCGAGACTTCTCTAGTCCGAGGGTATCGAGTGATGCCGAGCACTGAGGCGAGGATTTTGGAGGAAAAAAATGTTCGAAACGGAAAACGGATGTCTAGCTTTGTGTAGTGAATTGCTATTTCTAACCGAGTCCTTTATGCGTGTGCAGAGCATCGTGACATTGGACGGAGGATCACTGGTCCATGTCCAAAAATGGCTCGGCAAAGAGATGACAATCAAAAGACAAGTCGTCCATGGGAAAATGATAGCGGTGAGTTTTCCTCGAATTGGGCCTTTTAGGTGAGCTGTTTCTCTTCCTGATGAGAGGGTCTCGGGATGGAGGGCCCGGGCGACCTTCAAGTGTCAGCCGCCAACTCTAACAGGTCCCTCTTTGCTTTCAGAAATATTCCATGAATAATGTTGTCAGCACGCAAACCTTCGGAAAGGTATGAAGAAAGCGTCTGCGTCGGTGCCCGCCGGTTCACTAACCAGAAACCAGGGCCTGAAGAAGAGATGGCTCAGGGCCAGCGATCAAAAAATAAATAAACAAAACCATCAAATAAAACGCAGTTTTGGAGCGTGTGATATGGAGGGTTAGGGACAATCTGCTAGACTGGCGGGCCGAGAGGCTACTTGCCTATGGTGTGACTGTCACAGCACCAGCGTCCCCTTTGTCCTCTGCCCACCTGCCGTCTGCGGTCCTTGAGTTCCCTCCAGCGGACCCGTTCCTTTTAGGCCAAGGCGTCTGTCACACGGTGCTCTGTGGAAACTCACGTGACCTCAAAGCGGGTACGTTACGATCGTAGGAAACCACTCTGGGCATCACAGGTGCTGAAAACCAACCTTGCTGGCTTTTTATTTCTGCAGAAGGAGACTGGCCCTACTTGAATTCATTAAGGTCAATAGCTAGCTGGATAGAGACAGACAGGCAAATAGGCAGAGAACAGAATAAAGCCTGGCCTTGATACACTGTGGTTGAATTATTACAGAAGAACATTTAAAAAGCCATCATCGTCCTACTTATCCACAAACCCGTGGAAAATAACAAGGCTAGTGCCTCTGTCCCCACCATCCACACACAGCATTTCACTAAATGCCAGCCTTGGATTCCTAAATGCCTCGTGAGAACACAATTGTTAGCGCTACACAAAGTCCCTTGACAGTTTCGCCGAGTGCTGTTGCTAGGCAGTGTTCTCAGGGCTTAAAGCCCAGCCAAGTAATATAGGTAAAAATAAAGGGTAAAGCCTGAAAAAAACTGAGGATTTTTGTAGCAGCGGGAGGAAGACAAGGAGAAAGAGAAAGGCATATGTAAATACCCTATTGCGCCTTACGTTTAACAATAAGTCCTGAGTCGTATTTAATCTGCGTGAACGTGGGGTGTCATGCGATTTGTCATCTAGACCGGGAGAGAAGAGAAACCAGCAAAGGGCAGGATCAGTAATTACACCTGAGGACAGGACGGGTGGGACGGGGCTGGCCCAGGCAAGGCGGGGTGTGGTCGCCGAGCTCGGGGTTGGGGCGAGAACCGAACTCTGGCCAAGGGAAGGGACTGGGGCTGTCATATTGACACCCTGGAGGCTGAGCACACAGCGTGCTGGGCTTGCACAGCTGTGATAGACATGTCCACACACTCGCCCTGTCCTTTCCTGAGGGGCTCAGGGGTGTCCATGAGGTAGCCCTGCTTGCTCTCCGGAAGTCAAAGAGGCTTTCGACCCCTGAGGCCTTGCGACCATCTCAATTATTGAAAAAATTCGTAAGCCATAACCAAGGGAAAAAAACAGGACACAAAGCAGGCAACTTGGCTGACACGTGATTGGAAACTCACCCAGGTTTTTATGAGTTCGTACTTGCTCTGTACGGAAATAAACCGCCCCCACCCCCGACACGCTTTTCACTATGCCTCGCGAGTGAATTTCTAAGGGATTTCTTCCTCCCATCAGCTGTAAGGGAGCAGATGGCCGAATCCTGAAAAATATTGCGTTAATGCCAGAAAAACAGAGCCTACTTCCACGCCGCAATGTCACTTTCTCTCTAAGAGGAAATGCAAGTGACATTTAAAGAAAAAAAAAACAAACAAAGTGTGGCCAGCTCCTTGCTGCGACGTCCTACCGGGAACCATGATTGGAAACCTTAGGCGAGACTGGAAAAGGGGCCGCGCTGGCGAGAGGAACGTTCGTTGCATCGTCCGGAGGCTTCGCAAACCGCTTTTCCCTCTATTGCCGGTCGGTGAAAGAAAAGCCACGTGCTTCCTTTGCAGCTGCCATCGCAGTCACCCAAAGGTCACAAAAAAGGTAGATCCCTTTACATAACCGTCGGCTTCCTTCGAGGGACTGAAACTCAGAGTTTTTGTGGGAACTAAGACCCTCCTTCATCTGGACTTAGGTGTTTTTTTAGGTGGAAATCTTCGCTGCGGTCAGAAAGCACGTTCTCCAGCTGCGGCTTCTCGTCCGTCCGCCCTGGGAACGCGCTCTCTGTGCGCACTGTGCTCTCCCCGCCACCACGGCCTGGCCGTGTCACCCGCCTACTCCGCCTGCCTGGGAAATTCGAACTATGCCAACCCGCCCTCGCCGAGGAATACTTCCTCCCACAGCATATTTGAGGAGGGTATCACAATACTCAGGGACTTTCCCCCCTCTTCCCTCTCCCAGTAAGAATTCTTAGATGTGCCGAGTCAGGACTGCGTGACCGTGACCGAGAGGCCTGAACGCACGCGCATGGGCGGATTCCTCCCTTCGCTCTCCTATTGCTTAGTTCAATTCACGGGGCCTTCCCCAAAGCGCTGAGGGCCTCGGGCTTCTCAAAGACATAAGACTGACCTCGACATTTTTTCGAAGGTTCGAACAGTAGTGTCATTGATGTTTACAAAAATTTTTGGAGACTAAGGGAAACATTATGTGGCGCTTTCTTTTGCCTTAAGGGGCGACTGAAGAGCCATTCATTGCCCGGTCTCGGTGGCAGTCACGTGCTTTGGACATCTTTGAAAGGCACCTCCCGAGTCTCATCGAGAACCGAGTTGAATTCTCTTCCATCGCAATGAGTGACAAGTTCTTGGGCACCTGGAAGCTTGTCTCCACGGAGCACTTTGATGACTACATGAAAGCTCTGGGTAAGAGACGCTCTGCTGTTCTGGTCCAGGAGACTCTTTCTGAGAAAGCTTGGGGCTATTTTCTCTAACTCCTTCTGGGGAGTCTGGGGAAGTTTGCACAGGCTGAAGTACAGCCTTAGGGAATTGATCTTCTGTTGTGGCGTTTGAATAATTTATTTGCATTTTGTTTGGGGGGCAATTTTAATAGATTTAAACCTAAACGAGAGCTGCTTCAATGCATGGAAGCTCCACTGATTCCAAAGGCAGTTTCGTGTTAACAGGGCTTAGGCTTCAGACCCAGAGGACAGATGAGAGAAGTCTTTGTTCGGCGCCCCACCCGCTGGCCTTCTCGAAAGCTAGTTTTATAACAACTAAAGTACTCATAATATAAGGAGTCGAATATCCAGAAGGTAAAATGCTGATGTTTAGCTAACCCGTAAGTTTTCTCCTCCACCTCTAGGTTGCTCATTCTGCTATAATCATGTAGATAGAGTATGACAAGAAGATGCGTTAAAGCAGAATGGTCATAGCCTGGGGAAGTTATGGAGATAAAAAGAATCGGGTTGTGGCAGTGAATTCAAACTCAGTCACACCGACCCTGGAGCTGGAGTGGTGGATGCAGATGGAACATCCAGTCGTTGGCTGCATCGACTTTGACACTATTTCCGGAGACTGTCCCCTCGATATCAGCCCAATAGATGGGCAGGGTCTTCGGACACTTCCAGAGCTGCGTAAATGACCCCAGGTTGCCAGGCTCGTCGAAATGCCTGTAGCTTTACTTCTTTGTTCAGAAAGCTTATGAGAAAGGTTCTATTTTTAGATAAAATGAGCAAAATTCTGTCATGTTGCCAGGAAAACTATGAGGCCTGACGGGGACAGAGCTGTAGTAAAAGGTTGGTTAGATGTGTGGGCTTCACCTTATAGCTGAGGAAGAGGCAAAATACAAGAAAGTCTCAATGAGGGCTCCCTAATTCCATCATTTTCAAATTTTAGAGGGCAGAAGAGCATCAGGGCTGATAAAATGTAGATTCTCAGGCTCTACCAAAGAAATTTAGTTTGAAAATCATTGCCTTAATTATATAAAATAATAAAAAGTTGATCAGAATTACAGGTCGCAATTCTTTATTAGCTCTAACTCTTCATTTCTCATTTACTATATACATACTAGTTACATATACATGTACGTACGTACGTATATATGTATATAAATATATATATAACTAGTTTTCCTTCATGTATTTCTCTCACTTGACGTTTTTCCTTTTCCATGTATTTTTATAATCTTAAGTAATAATAGTAATAATACTTAGTCTAATTTCGTTTTGTTTTTCAAATACGGAAATGTTTTTTACAATTATTTTATTTATTTATGGTCTCTGGTAATGAAAGAAGATAGATTGTTTTTTCCTACTGGCTAGATTGAGGGGCCACAACAAAATTTCAGAAATCAGATTCTGTCAAAGATGTGAGGTAAGTTCTTTTCTAAATTCCATAATATATTACTGAGGGAAAAAAAAAAAATCATACGACAGTGTGTATACGTCATAGCCTGTTGTAAAAAATATATCTGTAATACTGATATGTACAAACCGAAATGTTCACAGTGGTCCATACAAAACTATAATTAATGATTTCCAATGGCGCATGGTAAAGTATGACTTGCACACCATTTAGGCTAAACGCTATACCTTTAAAATCTGCAGGCATTGGTAGCTCTGTTTCTTTGTTCAGAAAGCTTATGAGAGAGGTTCTATTTTTAGATAAAATGAGCAAAATTCTGTCATGTTGCCAGGAAAACTATGAGGCCTGACGGGGACAGAGCTGTAGTAAAAGGTTGGTTAGATGTGTGGGCTTCACCTTATAGCGGAGGAAGAGGCGAAATACTCAATGAGGAAGAAAGTCTCAATGAGGGGCTCCCTAATTCTGTCATTTTCAAATTTTAGAGGGCAGAGGAGCATCAGGGCTGATAAAATGTAGATTCTCAGGCTCTACCAAAGAAATTTAGTTTGAAAATCATTGCCTTAATTATATAAAATAATAAAAAGTTGATCAGAATTACAGGTCGCAATTCTTTATTAGCTCTAACTCTTCATTTCTCATTTACTATATACATACTAGTTACATATACATGTACGTACGTACGTATATATGTATATAAATATATATATAACTAGTTTTCCTTCATGTATTTCTCTCACTTGACGTTTTTCCTTTTCCATGTATTTTTATAATCTTAAGTAATAATAGTAATAATACTTAGTCTAATTTCGTTTTGTTTTTCAAATACGGAAATGTTTTTTACAATTATTTTATTTATTTATGGTCTCTGGTAATGAAAGAAGATAGATTGTTTTTTCCTACTGGCTAGATTGAGGGGCCACAACAAAATTTCAGAAATCAGATTCTGTCAAAGATGTGGGGTAAGTTCTTTTCTAAATTCCATAATATATTACTGAGGGAAAAAAAAAATCATACGACAGTGTGTATACGTCATAGCCTGTTGTAAAAAATATATCTGTAATACTGATGTGTACAAACCGAAATGTTCACAGTGGTCCATACAAAACTATAATTAATGATTTCCAATGGCGCATGGTAAAGTAGATGACTTGCACCATTTAGGCTAAACGCTATACCTTTAAAATCTGCAGGCATTGCTTTTGTAATAACAAAACCTAAAATATTTGAGTCCCCGGGAGAAGTCCCAGGCCGCGAGTGCTCCTACCTGCTGTCTGCACACCTGAGGCTCATCCGAGCGTGGCCGCCACAGTCTGGCTAGGTTTACTCTCGTGATCAACGGAATTCTAACATGATCTTGGTTTTCCAGGTGTGGGATTAGCCACCAGAAAACTGGGGAATCTGGCCAAACCCAAGGTGATCATCAGCAAGAAAGGGGATATTATAACTATAAGAACGGAAAGTCCTTTCAAAAACACAGAGATCTCCTTCAAGCTAGGCCGGGAATTTGAAGAAACCACAGCCGATAACCGGAAAACAAAGGTAAACCCTCATGATGCTCCTCTGAGCTGCTCAGTCCAGAGCTTGAGAGGGCGGGCGGCTTCCGTGCTGTGTGAGAGGCCGCGATCCTCCATTCTGTTAAAAATGAATGTGCCTCATGGGACACCTATTATGAAAACGATTCGGCACCGAACGAACAGCTTCCTTAGTCAGCCGAAGCGCGAGCGAGTCGGTTACGTGAACTTGTCTTTGCAGAGCATCGTAACCTTGGACAGAGGCTCCTTGAATCAAGTGCAGAAATGGGATGGCAAAGAGACGACAATAAAGAGGAAGTTGGTGGGTGGAAAAATGGTGACGGTAAGAGAGTTTTTACTTCTAAATACAGAAATCGTGCTGTTTAAGTAGAGAAATTGGTTATATTATTTTGAAAATATTCCTTTTTCTTTGGAATACCAGATGGATACGGATGGCTGAGAGTGAAGTCAGAGTTAATTCTTGGGTGATATTTAAACGATCAGGAATTTGAGTTTAGGTCGGAGAATTTAGAGCTGACCAAGCCTGCTTGTTATTTTAGAAATGACACCACCTAATAATGATAGCAAAGTTAAAGGGTGTGGATAAATCTCACTAGTTCGGATTCACAGACAGAAAAGCAAGTCTAAGGTTTCAAAGCAAAAAAAGAACTCCGAAAGCCTCCCTTGTGGAATGTGTGTTGCTATCCAAGCGTTTCACTTTAAGAATCCAGCGTAGCTGGGACTAAACCATGTCGATGATTCCAGGTGAGGTCATCTGAGATCTCTCTTAGTTGGCAGATAAGAATGATGACGTAGGTCACACGAGATGACCTCTGACGATATCTTTAAGTTTTAGATTCTTTGCTTACTAATTGACACATTGACTATAAATAGATTCACTCAATGTTTTAGGTTTTTCTTCCTTTAATACAGAAGTTCTCATCCGCAGCTGCACAATAGATTTACAGGGGGAGTAAATAGTAACATGGGGGCCCTAATTCAGATCGAATGCAAACCTCTTGGGGGAGGAAGAGTCATTGGTATTTTTAAATGTTCCCCAGATAATGCAAATGTGCAGACAATTTTGAAAATCACCGTTTTAGTGGATTTAAATGCATGTAAATTATGCATAAAAACTTGCTACTTTAAAAACATTCTTCGGCCATAACGTAAATCAACTTTATAACTGCTTCTTCGGTTTCACTGATGATTCTGAGTTGCCGGAGACTGATCTTTTATTCCTTTCTGAGTTTAATCTCATGAGATTGTTTTTAGTTTCTGTTATGATTGCAAATTTGTGTCCTCTAGTTCGAGTTTTAGAGATTCAATTAATCTCTCTCTCTCTCTCTCTCTTTTAAGGAATGTAAGATAAAGGGCGTGGTCTGCACCAGAATTTATGAGAAGGTCTGAGAAAACTGATTCCTCCTCGAACTGGCGTTTGATCATTTGACATTGGAAATCAGCTGTTTTCATGGCAAGGCCTGAGGACGCTACAGTCTGTTCGTTTTCGCTACTTTTATCTTAATAGATCAGATAGCCAGAGGCCTCGACTGAGGATTAATCTAAAGTTATTTAGCATTATTTAACCATTTTCAATTTGTATGCACATCTTTGCTATATTAAAATGTATAAGTTTGCCAGACCTAAACTATGTTTTCCTTCGTATATTTGAAATGACAGTAAAAGGCAGTAAATATATTGGTCGGGGTTGGCAAACTGAAACGCTTTCATCGTTCAGGAGAGTAAGGAATCAGGAGCGAGGCGATCTAGAAGGCGCTGTTTCAAAACGAGGATTCCAGTTTCAGCTGAAACGGGCAGCCTCTACCCCACTCTCGCCAGTTGTGTTTTTTTTTAATTGAGATTTAACTTATAGACAGTAAAATGCACGGATATTAAAGGTAGAATTCAATCTGTTGTGACAAATGCATGCACCATATACTTCACATCCTGACCAAGGTGAAGTACATGTCCTTAATCCCAGAACGCTGCCTCTTGCTCCTTCCCAGTCTGCGTCCTGCCCTGTCCCACCTCCAACAAAAAGCAAGTAGTGATTCAGTTTCTATCACCATAGATTAGCTTTGCCTGTTTTCAAACTTCATAGAAAGGGAATCGTATATTGTGTGTTCTTTTCTGTTTGCCTTTTAAAGTGCAGCGTAATGTTTTTGAAGACCATCCATATTGTTGCATGTATCAGTAATTTTTCCTTTTTCGTTGAGGAATAGTATTCCATTGCACGAATATATCACCGTTTACCCATTCTTCTATTGTTATGGTGCGAACGATTCTAAGACCCACGGAGCAGATTGAGATTAATTATGAGCCTTTATTAGCCGCCAGCGACTGACTCTCTACCACGCAGGCTTAGAGGAGATCAGCCCTGAGCTTCCCGAGGAGGCGGCTTATAAGGTCTCCTCCTACATCTTTGAATGAACAGATTACAAGAAGCAGAACTTAGTCGTTAACTTTTTGTACACACACAAAGGTATTCAGGAAACTCTCAGATCAAACAGGGCCTAATAGACAGTTTTATCATCTTTACCTTGGAATGCTGCTCTTCTCCCTAGGGGCTGGTGCCTAGAGATATCACCTCCCTGAAACTGGAGAATTTCCACTTTTACACTATTAAGACAATTGGGCTGTTTCCAGTTTTTGGCTACGGTGAATAAAGCTGCTCTAAACATTCTTGTTTACAATACAAGGCTGTTTGTAGACATACGAGATCCTTTCTTTGGGGTAAATACTAGGTGTGATAATTACAAGGTCCAGCTGATTGTTGACGGGCAGAAATAGGGGACCCCTGTGCCCAAGTAATAATGAAACTATTCGAGGTGCATTATATAACCGAGCAAATGAGAAGATGAGTCGATGTTGTTTGTTAGGAGCCAGAATTTTCCCTTCGGAAGAAGGAACACGCGAGCGTGGGATGACGGAAGGCGAGAAAGAAAATGCGAGCGTGGATGGGAACAGGTATAAACTCATGTTTCTAAGGCACACAGATGTGTGTGTGTGTGTGTGTGTGTGTGTGTGTGTGTGTGTGTGTGTGACTGGACATGCATATCCGCAGGCATTTATACGTGCACGAGTATATGTGCTTATGTGTGTGTCCACGGTCATCCTCCCTTACCTCTGGGGGCACAGCCCAAGACCCCAGTGGATGCCTGAAACCGTGGATAGACTGAACTCCGTATATACTATGTTTTTTCCTATACAGACATATCTATGATAAAGTTTAATTTATAAATTAGGCAGAGTAAGAGATTAGTAATAATACTACTCAGAATGGCACGCAGTTTAAAATGTACAAATCGTTTACTTCTGGTATTTTTCATTCAATGTTTTTGGACCTCGGTCGACTGCAGGTAGCTGACTGTAACCACAGAAGGTGGAAGCGTGGAGCAGGGGGGACACCTGTATGTGTAGCACATGCACAAAGGGGACACCTGTATGTGTAGCACACGCACAAAGGGGACACCTGTATGTGTAGCACACGCACGAAGGAAGCCGTGACTGGAGCCGCCCAAAGAGCGTGGAAGCAAAGACACCTCAGTGGGTTGAGCACACCTAGTGCCCCAGATCTCGGCATCTAACAGACCCACTCAAATGAAGGGGTTCCTTGGAGAAATGGCCGACTCCAGTGTGATGGCAGGCTCGGCTCACCTGAGCCTAAAGTGTCTTCTTATGCCAGGAAGTAAGGAACTGTTCAAAATGATAATTGAGATATGTCACCTGAATTGGGGAGTCAGCTTAAAGGTGCTGCCACTGGCTAAAACTGGGGCAATTTGAGGAGCAAAACAATAAAGAAAAATCATGAATCATAAACCATTGGGTGGAGTAAAAATTTATAAGAGAGAGAGAGAGAGAGAGAAACAGAGAGACAGAGAGATCCTTCCTTCCTTCCTTCCTTCCTTCCTTCCTTCCTTCCTTCCTTCCTTAGAATGCCATGGGCTGACTGGTGAATGGGGAAGAATTGAAACTGGGAAATCAGTTTTCACTGTCACAGTAAATATTGGCTCAAGCAGAAATTATTGGTGACGCTAAAGCTGGAGGGACGTTCTGAATATAAGTAGGATCTTAATTTGGCCTGAAAGTATCTCCACACAGACAGCTTATTGGTTACAAGGGAGAAAACAGTAACCATGCACTGGGAAAATTCGACGGCCCCTTGACTGGGTATCGAAATTATCTGCCAATGAGGGGTGGATGAAAAACGCACGGCGTCCAGCGTGACACTTTGAGAAGGAAGCCACCTCGCCCACGCAGTGTTCTGCCCTGGAATCCAGGTCTGGACCTAATCCCGAGGAAACATCAAACAAATTCCAGATGAGGGGTGTTCTATCGAAAGGGGGAGACGGGGTGCTGATCGAATCCTTCAAAAACGTCCATGTCATAGAGGACAAAGGCAGGGGTCTGGGGGGTGCTTCGGGTTAAAGCAGACTAAAAATGCCTGGCAGCTACACGCAGTAGGTGACCCCAGACCGGACCTGAACGAGAAACAAAGTAAAAACTCCAAAGGCCAATGTTAGGTTGGCTGGCGAGTTGGAACACAGATGGTAGATTAGTAGTTTATCGTGATTACATAAGACAATATCGCTATTCTTGAGAAATACACACTGAAGTGTTTTGGGGATATCGGCCTTAATGGATGCAACTTACTCTCGAAAAAATTCAGAAAACAAGTATCGTCTGTGTGCACACACGTTACGAATACACATACCGAACGAGAGCGATTGATAGAGCAAATTTAACACTCAATGGATCAAAGTAAACATTAGATGTTTTCTTTGACTTAGTCTGATTCTTAAGACTATTCTGCAAGTCTGAAGTTATTTCCGAAGAAAATTTTTAAAAAATGAAAGCTGCCCTCGCCAAGTCCTTCTCTGTCCCTGGGCATTCTCTCAACATGTATCTGGGAGCATCCTAACCAAGATGTGGTTTTTATTTATTTTTTTGGCTCCAGCCAGATAAACTCCACAAAAAGGAAAGTTTAAAAACCAATGCGCTATTTTTAGAGGTTCGCGGTAACGTGACTTGCTGTAAAATGCATTCCTCTGTAAATATAATTGCGCTGTTACACAGAAATCGTGGGTACTTTCTGCTTTCATAACAGGAAACATGGAGCTGCACTGATAATGAGAAAAATAAAATAATTATTTCAGCAGGTGATGCAGATTGCTAGATTTGAAGAAGATTTTTAATCAGCCAGAAAGGGTGGGGGGAGGGCCTCCAGTTCTGCAGTGTTCAGAAATGGTCTTGGAACACTATCCTGATTTTCTAGTTCATTTTGGGATAAGGTGACGGTTGAGAGCAGTCAGGCTGCCTAGTGCAAGTTCCAGTTTGCTACTTACTAACTGTGTGTCACTGGGCAAGTTACTTAACCTCTCTGCCCTGACTTTCTTCATCCATAAAGATGGGGAGAATAACAGAACATAGACTCCAGAGTTCTGAATAATAAGTGGAAATACGTAAAGTGTCTAGAACAGTGCTTGGCATATGAGAGGCATTGTAGAAGTGTCTCGTGCTATAATTATGTATTTACTAATATACATGGTGTCCAAATAAGTCATTTGATTATACCTCAAAACAAAGAGAACTTCACAAGATCTCAAAGCCGTGGATGTTTATTTGCACACCAAGTGACTAAATTTATTAAGGAGATTATTTACACGAAAATAAAAACAATCAAGAAACCTGTTAAGATGAATTCATAGAAAGCTAACAAAGAATGCTATGTCCCTCTGCTAACCTAAGCAACTCTAACCTAAATAAGGCCATACATAAAAACATTTAATCCCCAGAGGATAAGTAAATTCTCTGATGTCTGTCAGATAGTGATTGGTGTTCCCGATACAGTTCTCTCAGAAGCAGTGGTGAGCTGGGCTAGCTCAAATGGTCCCATAAATGCTGGTGGGTAGATTTTTAGGGCTTTGGCTAGCTGGTTGCTAACCCATCGGTAGCTTGAAATCGGCCATAATGGGAGCATTTACGTGAGGGAAATAGGAAGACAACCAGCGAGGGCTTTGTTTCTTCAGGAGATGGTTTCAAACACTTAACTAGCGCACTACGGCCTGGAAGAAGCGTAGTGCTTGAATTTTCTGAGTCTTAGTTTCATGTTACCATATATTTCTAATTTCTGCTAAAGATTTCATTTGCGATTCCTTAAAAAGTCACTTCTGCTTAGCTTTTATGATCATTTCTTCTAAACCAGGTGACGGCTCTCGACATATGGCTACACAGGAGAATCATCCAGAAGGTTTCCATGCCCCAGTACCGAGACTGCACCACAGACCTGTTGGGTCACAATCTATGGGTGATGGGCGAGGCCCAGGCATCAGTGCAATGATTCCAACGTGTGGCCAGTGTGAGAACCACTGTGCCCAAGTCTTCTGAAGTTCGATATTTAATGTAGGCTATTATCATGTTGCTCTCAGTGAAAACAGAGTGAACCATCAACAAGATCAGGAGTACCAAAAGTGCCCAACCACATGATGGAAATAACAAGCGTCAGATCCCCTCAGATGTAATCAAGCCCTTTGTTCAGAAAGCAAGTGCTTTCCTCTTTGTTATGTCCAAGGAAGGCAACACAATTGGCCATTATCCACGACATGTGGAAAAGTGAAGTTTTAAAAATAGCAA